CATCCTTTCCTCTTATTCGCTTATTTGAATAATAATGTATCCGTTTAAAAATTTGTATATATATAATACACGCTTGTAAATAAGTTTAATTGCTCTGAAGATGTTGTGAACAATACAACGAAACGTTAGCCAATAAATTTTATATTTTTGTTATGTCTTGTCTGAAAGTCATTTGCTGGGCTTTAATTTTCATTTTTAAATTACGCTTTCCACCCGGTGTATCAAGCTTTGTCCTGTTAGGTTTTTATTACCTCTGGATCCTATAGGTAACTCTAATAGAGAATGCGCAGTTATATTATATATATTATAAGCTGCTTTACCTGGTTAGCAGTAACAGCACATTTACTTGTAAAATATTTCTAATGGCATTAATAAAGTAACTTTTACCAGTTCCTGCAACACTATTTCTAATTAGACATATGGCTCTTTCTCGTTTGATGTATCATCAAAATGAGACTTAACAATGTCATGGGCAAGCTTTTGCATTTCACTGAAACTGTTATAGAATAGAATAGAATAGAAACTTTATTTCATGAGGGAAAACGTATTAACCATAAAAGTTATCTAACATACGGCCCTCGCACTATTTTGATATTTACAGGCATAAAAAGTATTAAAGATTACGACTATTTACATATGAAAAAAAATAATTAGTAAGGAATACAATTACAATTTAGTAAATATTAATTTTACAATTTATACAAAATACATCTTCGATATGGTTAGTAAGGTTAAGCTTGTTTTTTTATTATTATTATTATTATTATTATTAAATTGAAACCACATTGCAGCCAGAAGCTGAATTGCGTGGATTACATATTATCACATGCACTACATATAAATATATTATTAATACAATATTATAAAACCCACCCACGATCAAAACTCGATTAAAATAAGCATAAAAACTATCCTACAAACTTCCTACACATAGCAGGGATGAAAGAGTTATAAAAACGGTTCGTGCGTGTAACGTACATATTAAAATACCGATTCGTCCTGAAAGAATAATCAGTCTCGTTCTTCGGGGGCAGCAGATGATGAAGTTTATGCATTGGATCCTTGATGATACTCGTAAAGAGTTTGTCACACATGTCCTCTCTTCTTTGAAATAGAGTAGGCAGTCTATAATACTCAAGGGCCTCACAATATGTCATTTCAGGAGATAAAATTTTTAGCACACGTTTCTGGACAGTCTCAAGTTCGTCTGCCAAATACGTTGGGATGGAATGATGGAAGGCTTGCGCACAATACTCGAGCACAGGCCTGATCACTGTACAATAAAAGTTCAAAACATCATTGACATTTACGCCTGCCCGTTTCAATAATACTATAAAATAGAGGCGTTTATTAGCTTTCTTTATACTCTCTCTGATGTTATCTTTCCACTGAAGTGTGCCTGTCATAACAAGACCCAATATTTTTGCACTCTCAACTATAGGCAATGCTTCTCCACCCACCAGTACAGGATCAAAAGGTTGTTTAATTTTTTTAAAATCGATTCTCAGTTCTTTACATTTCTCAGCGTTAAGAGATAGCCCATTTGCCTTCGACCAATCTTCCACAACATCAACTGCGACTTGAACACGGCTCTCTGTGTCCTTACTAACTACTTCAGCAACTGTTGTGTCATCAACAAACTTCCACCTCGATATATCACAAATATCAAGATCGTTTATCATTAAACAAAATAGCCAGGGCCCTAATTTTGTACCTTGAGGGATACCAGAGAGTACATCACCCCACTCCGAATAACAGTCATTGGATAATTTCACTCTCTGCTTTCGATTCATCAAAAAATCGATTGTTCAGCGAGCAACCGCACGTGGAATAGCTAAATTGGAAAATTTATCAGCCAGTAAAGCATGATCGATAAGGTCGAATGCTTTTCTATAATCGAACAGGATGACTCTGACAGCAGAGCCAGTGCCATCAGTAGCTTGCGACCATTCATGGATCATAGATATAACAGCGAGAGTAGTTGAACTTCTTGGTATTACTCCATATTGACTTGGATCGATTATACTCATGATAGCTGGAGCAATGTATTTTTTAACAACACAGTCCTCAGCGATTTTCGAAATAGCGGCAGTAAGTGAAATTGGTCGTAACTGCTTACAAATGTCGCTAACGGGCTTAGTTTTTATGAGGGGCACAATGTTGGCAAGCTTCCAAGATTTAGGTAGTTGTTGTTCGGCATAGCTGCTGTTTAGCACAGCGCATACTGGCTGTGCAAGGATTTCAGCATATTCCTTAAGAGCCCAATTGGGAATTTCGTCAGGACCTGACGCCTTTCCACGATTAATTGCTTTCAATAAATGAAAGACTTCCAATTCGTTTACTTGAAAAGAGGAATAATTATCAAAGGGGGGAAGGGTTGACAGTGGATTGAAGGAGTTCATGGGCTCCAAAAAGGCGTTATTAATTAAATTCGCAATGTCAGGACGTTGCATATTCTCGATATCGTCTAAATGAAGTTGACTACATAGGTCATCGGAGCCGGTTGTAGGTACCATATCAGCAATCTGCTTCACCTCCTTCCACCATCTCTTCGGTTTGGTCGATTTAAGATTCTTTACTTTTGAAGAGTAGAATTTCGCCCGGCATATCTTTCGCTCGCGGTTAACCCGATTCCGGTAATACTTGAACTGAAAGGTATTTCCACTGCAGAAGGCAGCTTGACGCTTCCTTATAAGCTCTTTAAATTCTGCAGTAATCCATGGAGGGTCGTGTACATGCAAAGCCGTTTTCTTTATTGGCATAATGGTGCTAATACCGAGACGTACTAACTCTTCGAAATACTGGAGTTTCATTTCGCATGTGTCAAAATGATTCAGAGAGGACCAATCGATAGATGTAAGGTATCTTCCAAGCTCATGCCTTTTACTAGATTAGCAGGAATCTGAGATACGGTCGTTTAACCATTAAGAAAGATTTTACGAATTTTTTGTTTGGCGTTAGTATATGAAGAGCAAGATGGGGAAGCAGCAAGTCGCTTACAATCGCTATCTAAGCAATTAAAAAGAATGGAAGCACTGTACAGAAATGTTCGTTTACCAGAGTCAGTACGCGGGAAGGGGGGTTGAAGGTCACATGCGCAAGCTCTAGTCAGAACCCGTTGTCGAATAGAAGATAAGAATTTAAACATTTGATGTCAACAACATCATATTCTCATCAGTATAGTGTATTCCACTTTGTTTGTTCTTATCCATGTAGGCATTTCATGGATTTGTACTAAAAATAGAAAAGTGGATTTCACAAACAATAAACTATACAGTTTAGGTTAATGCCTAAAAATTGTTATTACATGTAAAAGGACAATTTTCTACGTACAATAGTGTATTCAAATTATTTTTAATGTTGAGTTTATCATATGAGATTAAAGTTTATTAAAAGGATATTATTGTATATGGTAAAGTTAAATATGTTGCATTAAGTGGCAAATGTATATGTGTTCTGGGGCACCCCATGCCTAAGAAATTTAGACCTCATACCAGGTGCAGGTGGACTGCCTATATCATGGGCGGTGACTGCCCATGCTTGACATGGAATTAGAATTTTTCAGTCTACCTAACCCCCAGTCTTGGCAAGAGTTTGCGCACAAGTGGTATAATATACAGGGGGTCGGTCATGCTTGTATAATGAAGTATGAAGCCTCGACCTGATCATTTTTCATTATCTATACACTATAAAAGCTTGACATACAGTGCAGGGGCCGGTTGTATAAAACTCTTAATCACTTTTTTAATCACTATTTTGTAGTTAAATAGTGATTAACTCTCAAATACGCGCTTCTTATTGGATGACATTTCCACTTAACTATGACTAACTTTAATCACTTTTTTATACAACCGGCCCCAGTATTTTCCACAGTATATAAAACCAATGGTTAATCAATGCATATTTAGTGTAAATTACTCTCAACGACAATGCTTTTGTTGGAACACTGACTGACAAAATCAAAGGCAAACTGGGCAGGTTGTTTTCTTTTGTATCATAATGTTATTTAATATTTAATAGGAACTAAAGTCTATAAACCGTAGTCTCGAAACCGTTGATGAGTACTTCCACGAATATTACCAGTAAAGTTGTGGCATAACATATAAACTGCACTTGTAATACCTTTAAACTGATTATGATCACTTCCTGACACATCGAATCTTTCATGACTGTGAAGACACGTCTCATACTCTCATTGGCATTCGCGTTTCCCTGACGTGTCACACCCCGTGGGCCCCCCGGTTTGCCGACGGACATCCAAATTTTGAACAAGTCAAGCTTCACTTCGACAATACATAACTCGGCCAAAGAGACTGGGCACAAGTAAATGTCGAGCTAACGCTCGCCAGCAATCAACTTCAAATTCTACTAATAACTGTAGGGAGCCTCCTTAACCTCCTTAAACGGTTTCAGCAACATATCGTGGTGTCTGTTGTGTATTTTTCTTATCTTTTTACAATCTTTATTTTACATGTAACACAAAGTTCGAAAATCGTAGTTTATAAACTTGCGAGTTGTGCCGCGATGGGGAACAATTTTTCACTTGTTGCGCGGCGGGATACATTACGTCTATCTAAAGTCACGTGACCACAAATCAGCCAATCACGTTTGGTGTTCACCCTATAGCTATTTAACAATTATTCGCCGAAGGCGAGGTGATTATCGGGGAATATTCGCCGAGACGAAGTCGAGGTGAATATTCCCCGATAATCACCGAGCCTGAGGCGAATAATTGTTTTAGTATTTTTACACAAGTCTTTTCTGTTGTTTGGTACTGAATTTATTTTAATTTCGCTTCTTTCTTTATCAGTAAACTTCCACAAAACGGCTAGCCGTAAATTTCAGTTTTGTTATATTCACCTGTAGGTGAATATATTCACCTGTAGGTGAATATAACAGCTTAATACGTCAAATTTGACCAATCAGATTGTAGGATTTGTTATGTTCACTTGTGCAAAAATACTAAATAACAACATTTTCTATTACTGTATTTTCCGCAGAAATTTACTGGGAACGACGATACCACGGTGATCGTCGAACATCAGCTTACAACAGTCATATTTTCTCGCTTTCTACGCCTTCATGTAATAGAGCATAGTGGAAACGCGGAATTTCGATTGGAGTTTATTGGCTGTTACATAGGTAAGAATTAATTCAGAGTACCTGCAGCTAGCACTGATCTAAGAATATAAGAAATACGTCTATATACGCAGGAAACCGCGTATGATGACTAGTACAATTAATGAGTAGTTGCATGCATGCAGTGCAAGCGATTATGAAAATTTTGATTATGAGGTGCGGGGGAGATTAGCCTGTATAAGATCTATGATCGAAATCAAAATATTTCAAATTGAAAATATATATTATAAATTTATTATAATACAATATCAATAATATCGGCAACAAAAATACCGATAATTTTGAATTTAGGGCCAAGTTACCGATTGATCCAATACGCCGACATGGATACCAGTCTATCACTAGAACTTGCAATCACTGGAAATACATTATAACCACACGCATAGACATAGTAAAAGACCGCGTGTATCAATAAGAAAGATTAATTTACAAAATTGGATTTACGTTCCAGATAAGGATGTATAAATTTTGAGCGGGTTTCGTTTATATTACACATTAATTTTAGTCAAAATTTTGAGAAATGATCCAAGGTTTAGAATTCTGTTATAGATCCCCTGTTTAGATTCTCAGACAATATTAATTGCATGGTCAGTCTGCACGCACTAAATATTTTTCGTCTTTTTATTTGAAGACTGCTTTTTCTTCGATAAGCAAAGGTTATATGTAGCCTATAAGCCTCTTAATTGGTGTTGAATTGGTTTTTTGTTGGTGTTTAGATACAATTGTGCGTGAGTCCATACCTCTTGGCATGGAAAACGGTTTAATTTTGGATTCTCAACTTAGTGCATCATCTGAAAAGTATTACTATATTTCTGGTGCTGCTAGTGGCAGACTTAATTCGGAAACAGTACCTAATGAAAGACACGGTGGTTGGATAGCAGCAGACGATGACAGCGCTCCTTGGCTTCAAGTTGACTTCATAATCAATGCTACAATTACTGCTATAATTACCCAAGGTCTAGATACTGGGGTAAATTATGTAAAAGATTACACTGTGACATTCAATAACAGTAAAACAGGAATGGAAAATTACATTGGGAAGAGCACTGGACAAGTAACGGTAAGGAGGATTATCAATAAATCAATCTCTTTATTTCAACACGATAAATTATTCAACAGAGCTGGTGGGGTCGTGCATTTAGCTATAATGATTAAAAATACAATTAGTTATATATGAAGTATGCCTACTCTTTTGTCTTTGTATTTAGTTACAGCAACTAAAATGGGATCGAAGTTTATTTACTATAATATCAAATTTACTTAGTAGATACTTGAATTCATTTAAGCGATCCTTGCCAGACAAACTGTTCCACGCTAACATCACTCCTCTATACGGTATAAAGTTCCTGCACGATATATTCTTTCTAGTCTTGGAAGAATCATATTTCTATTTATTCTACTTTCGGGACAAATAAATCCCTTTGTACAAATAAATCCTTGGATTCTGCAACAGTTAACAACAGTCTGTAACCTGTTACACATTTAAAAACGAATTCCGTCAATTTAACCTTAATATATACATTGTTTCTAAACTGCATGCTTGTCCCATTGTGTTCGCGCTAAGACGTGTTCAGCACTGCAAGCATGTCATAGGAGATTATAGGGAATGATAGAAAAAGTACGTTGCTACAATAATTACTAAGCATGACTATATAGATGTTGGGTAGAGTATTACGAACTTAGGATTACTATCGAAAATTGTTAAGATATTACCGCGCAATAACCTAGCTATTAAGACAAACTACAGTAACAAGCTGTCCATTCGTGGCTCTTTACGCTGTTAAAGAGCGCCTCAAATGAGTACGTTCAAGCTAAACGCATATTAGGTACGTTCTCCTTGCCCAAGTTTTGTTCAAACTGCCGCCGAAGTGCTTTTTCTCTGGTTTTCTCTTGTCTAATTGAAAAGCCCCCCCCCCCCCCTAAGTTGCTGTGCTCCTCTAATTTTACAGTGCTTCCTCCGCCCCTGCGTCTGTAAAATATTAGTCAAATTTATATTAGACACGGGAAACTCGTCTTGGACGGCAAACTCATCTATTAAAACCTGTCTGAATATTACTTTTGACATATATGTATAGTGTTGTCGATATGGAACTTTGAGGATCTTGTCAGTCGGGGTCTGTGTTCCTCTCTTCCCTTGGAAATTTTTTATTTGTTCCCTATCCCACAAAGATATAAACATGTTCCCTTGTTCCCCATCTTTACATGTTCCTTTGCATGTTCTGATGTTTCCTATGATTTTTTGGCTTTGTTCACGTGTTTCATTGCAAAATATGCCTATTAAAGGTCATTAAAAATGTTTTAAAACGAGATATCTCCGAAGTTATAGAAACTATTCACAATATAAACGACGTTCGAAAAACAGAAAAATTGTTCGAAACGTCGTTTTTATTGTCCGAAAAATTGATATATTTGAAATTTTCATGACGTTGTATGTAGTCTATTATTTTTTGACAGCTACTTTCCTTCGCTAACAGGTGCTTAATGCAACAAACGTGAAGCAAGATTTAGATCCATATATTTCCGCTCATATTGTTCGAATCAAACCGAAAACGTGGATTGGAAATTGTGCTTTAAGAGTTGAGTTCCTCGGTTGGTATGAAGGTAAGATTAACTTTACTTTAAAACAATGTCATTGCAATATTTACAACATGAGCTCCACCTTTGAATTTACTATTCGAGTAAATTGTTAAACACTTCCAAATTTATCAGCAACTTCACATAAAACAACAAGCATTAGACAACAGTTTATGTTATAAATGTAATTGCACTAAAAGGGACGCTGTTCGCCCCGGGGTGGGGGAGATTTTCGAAAAAAAATTGGATTAGTGTTAAATAAAGATTAGATTAGGGTCAGATTAAGATTAGGGGTTAAACATTAGGGTTACGGCTCGATAAGATTAGGGGTTAAACATTAGGGTTATGTGTCGCGAATTTATTGTATTGATAAATTCGGACGTGTTTAACAATTTACTCATACTGTAAATTCAAAGGTGGAGCGGATGCTGAATATTTAAAACTAGTAATTTCTCTGCAACTCATAAATATCCACAAAACCCATGCAATAACCATAATGAATACAATAAAAAAACATGATGGACGAATGATGGCCTGTTTAACCAGACATATAGACGGCTGCGGATTAAGGGAAATACAACTACCTGAAAATATGAGCAGAACTTCGACGTTTCGAGCGAAGGCCCTTCGTCGTGAAGTTAGTATATTAACTTCCTGACGAAGGGTCGTCGGTCAAAACGTTGAAGTTCTTCCTATTTTTTTCTTTCTTGTTATCGTCGTTATCTACATGCACTCGCACATACCATAATTTATATGAGAACGCAATTCAATGTGAACTTTGTAGCTTGGCATGCATTTTTCTTCTTTTGACGTTATCGTTTAAAATGACGTTAGACGTTCCTTTATAGGCGTTGGTGTGCACTTAATGTTTTATTTGTTAGCTAGGATAATTATCATTATGCAGAACATTTAATTTCAAAGTATATACATGTCTTACTTGATTGAAATGTAAACGCCATAGTGAATTATCTCTGCAACCGTTTATAATTCTACTTTGTTCTTGAGATACTACATGAGTTGTACCTGGCAAACAAATCGACTTGTCACCCAATTGTGGTAAAATGTTAAGAGACATTTTCCATGTAATAGGCTATATATACATAATATTTTTGGCTCTGCTTTCTTAGGCAATAGTAATTCAGAACTGCTGGGCATGTTCAACCGAAGTGAAATCTTAGATAGTCAAATCCGTTCGTCTGTACAAACTCCAGTCGATCACGGCTCTCACGCTGCTAGGCTTAATTTCACTGTGGGTTGGCTTGCGGAAGATAGCGGTGACTATATACAAGTTGACTTTGGCAGAAGGGCAAGCATTACGGAGATATGGAGTCAAGGTGCAGGAGACGGCTCTTCCTGGACTAGAAATTTTACTGTTGCAATGAGTAACGATGGAGTGAACTTTCTCGATTACGAAGAGTATGGCGCGCGCAAGGTTTGTATTTTGTTTGAAATATACGTTATGTATTTAATGTTGAAAGGTTTTTGTAAATGGAAATTTGGGTGTAAATTTTATACATCTTTAGACCTAACCAGGAACAGCTGCGAAAAATGCAACTGTATTTACTTTGGCAGGAATGTACTCGAAATTTCCATGCACGAAAACCTTTGAACATTTAGTTTTCAACATCGAGTGAGATGCAGCCGTCCCGGAATTAATTCCGCTTGGCTATTTACACCCGGCGAAAGGAAAGCATTAGCGAAGTCTAAAGTTCATCAATAATCGCTGGCGCGTGGCTTTGTTTCATGATGTCGTGGTGTTATGGGAGGACCTCTTCACTGATCTCAAAAGTATGGCAAATTTCTGGAGTGGAAGGAGGGGAATTCGCGAGGAAAAAAGTGAAAAAGATTATTCAGAAACCCGAAATGAGACGAACAGCCAGACAGTTTATTTGGTTTTGCTTCATAATAAAATATTAGGGCAATAGATTGCTGGAAATCGTAAGTTTGTTTTAAATGTACGTTTTCTTTATAATTGCTTTAAAAACTGGCGTTGCGTATAATGAAAAAAAAACCAGCATATAATTAAATTCAATGTATTTTTATTAATTACTCTTTATGAGTAATAATTTTCATGCGAGAAGTTGAATTCTTAGTAATTCTCATGCGAGAATTTGAAATAATTTTATTTCAAACTCAAAGTTTATCGATAAAAAGCAGTAATAGTTTTAAGAACATTCTAAAATGTTTTGTGAAGCGTTTGTGGTTAAATTTTACATTAAGTTGAAGCTTATATTTCGTATAATAACATACCTAACATATATACTTTTGGGAAATTGTTAATGTTGTAATTTAAAGTGATCTTTTCGGGTGTTTCTCAAATTTAAAAATATAAAGAATAAAATGATTGTGCTACCATGAAAACCACTTCAAATACTTCATGTTTGGAAAATGCAAGCATGTATTTCTAGTATGTATTTAATAATTTGTACAGTAGTTGTTTGGTCCATATTTGTTGTTATCATAAAAATTGCCCAAACGAAGTTAAGGCCATGTTACACGGTGCAATTTTTCTTGCAACTTGCAATGCAATTCTACTCTTGAGAGATGTAAAATTGCCAAATACGAGTCTTCATTACACTCCGCTGATGTTTTGTCAACATATCGAAAATTCTTCACTGATTTCACTAATTAACATCTCTCAAGAGTAGAATTGCATTGCAAGTTGCAAGAAAAATTGCACCGTGTAACATGGCCTTTAGGCATTGCTTAAACGTTGTGTGAGTTTGTTAGTCTGTTCGGAATCGCAAGCCTTGGTATTTATTCAAAAAGTAGTATGTCTTTGCGTTTGTGGTGCACTTGTTTTGCGCATGCTCAAGGGCACCGCCTTGTACAACCTCGTACCCAGGGTCCCCGTGTTTAAAGGTTCTGGTGTGCAACGTGGTTGCGCCTTGTAGTACAACAATAGCTCAGTGCGCATGCGCAGGAACTAAAAAATGCCGAAGAATTTTTTTATTCAGAATAGAAACTCGTCCAATTACTCATTCGATAAGTGAAACAAACAAAACTACGGAAAACCGGTATGCTAGACCTTAATCATAAGTGCTCTAATATTTGATGTATATGAAGAAATATAAATGAAATAAAATTAAATTTCGCCATTTTTTTATGTAAACATAGACTTACCACTTTTGAGCAACATTTTGATACTATTAAACGAAGCAATATATAAAAGTTTGGGTTTGTAGTGGTTTTCTAATGTAGTGTTTACAGTAATTTTACCTAGCAATTGGCCCTTTCATTGCCTAATAACAAATATACTATTCTGTTTCTTCTCATGTACAACTATTTTAAATTATGACATTGTCTTTTTTTCAAGACCTTCTTTGCCAACATTGATCATTCTTCTACTGTTGTCCAAAAACCGCTGCATGTGATCTTTGCTCGTTTTATACGAATTATTGTGGATCACTTTGTTAACCTTCCTGGCTTGAGGCTTGAATTCGTGGGACGTTTAGTAGGTAAGTTTACATTTAATTAATTATTCTCATTATTATTATTATTAAGTCCACACTCCACCCAATCATAGCCTATCGAAGGGAAGATGGCTGTGAAACTCATTAGAATAACAATATAACTCATTATCTATGCTAGTCAACGTTTATTCATAAATCTGGTCCTTCACCGTTACCTGTGTATTGTATTTTTGCCCAACTAACCAATAGCAATGTTTTAGGAAAGCTACCTATCCGTGATTCGAACAATAAGGTAAATTAGAAGTTGCTATTGGTGGGTTTGGCAAAAATACAATACACACGTGACGGTGGAGGACCAGAGTTATGAATAAACGTTGACTAACATAGATAATGACTTATATTGTTATTCTAATGAGTTTCACAGCCATCTCCCTTTGATAGGTTATGACTCAATGAAAGACAGTTGTACGTTTGTTCCGGACATTGGCTCCGAATTAATAATAATAGGGAGCTTTAGCAGCGAGTACGACTACGAGTACGAGATTTGATCGCGTGCGAGGAAATCACCGTAGTCGTTCTCGTTTCCGTTCAAATGTTGCTTTTATAGTAGTAAACAAACAACGAAAGAAAAGTTTCTATAAACTAAATCTCATGCAGGCTAAAATCCACTACAAAATGTGCAAATAAGTTATAACATTAAAAACAAGCCAGATATTTAGTACTAATAGATTATTTTTCCCGGATAAACGCTACAAATTATTTTTGAGAAACAAAAAAAAAGCCAACTTTTTTTGTTTTTTGAAAAGTCGTCGTGAGGACTACGAGATTTCTCCACAATTTCGTTCTCAGATTGGCGACGGCTACGACTTTTTCGCATCAGTACGAGATGGCGTAAACATACAGCATGCGTTTCGCTTGACGAATCTCGTACTCGTACTCGCAGTCGCTGCTAAAGCTCTCTAATAATCTCCGGGACGAGGGTACTAATTCTGCTCGGCTATTTACATCCGGGGAAAGGAAAGCATTATACAAGCGGCGTTTATATAGCAACAAATGGATTTAAAACAATTCAATCGAGGGGTAAATCGGTGATTTAAATCACGTACAGATTCAGAAAAATGACTAAAAATAAAAACAAATCACAGAAAATCCTTTTTTTTTCACAAAAATTTTTACAAAAAATAGATATAGAAAAACATAAAACAAAAGAATGAAAAAACCCAAAAAAAGTCACAAAAGAAATCACATTAACCTTTTAGAAGTGATTTTCCCCTCGAATTTAATCCCCGAGCCACCAACGGCAACGCGGAGTGCCGGGCGGTACAAATTCCGCACGGCTATTTACTCCACGGGAAAGGAAAGGAAAGGAAAGCATTAGCGAAGTCTAAAGTTATATGCTGCCTTTTTCATTACGCAACGATCAGTTTTTAAAGCAATTATAAAGCAAACAATACATCAATTTAAAACAAACTTACCTTCATTAATGTCGGCGTGTTTGCTCCCTTTAGGCACAGAATAAGGAAACGAACGTTTTTGGTCGTTTTTTCACGAAAAGGTTTTGAAACTTACAAAATCTTGCAAACATAAAATATATTTGCAAGAAATGTTTATTTCGCTGTCGTTATGCAATCGTTATTATGCAAATTTCAAATTTGACCAATCAATGTTCGCTATTTACGACAGTTTGCTATATTTTGAGATCAATGAGGATGAACGGTGAACCATAGCCATGCACCCGCGATTATTGATGAACTTTAGACTTCGCTAATGCGTTTCGTTCCCTGGGTGTAAATACCCGGCAAGACAATACCCGGCCGGTAAATACCCGCCCCGGGCTTACGCCCGGAACGGCGCTCCGCGCCGTGGGCTCGGGGATAAAAATCACAACAGTCATGCAGTTACGGATAAAATTAAATTCCCTTCATTTAATGAAGATAAGCATCTGGTCGATCCAATCCGTTATTCTTCGTACGTTAAGGACAAGTGTTTATGCATGTTATCTAAAGCTCCATCAGTACTCTCGAAGTAGCAACTCCAGCTTATATCACACAATATATCACTGATCGCTTTCAACCACTCGCAGGTTAATAATAATAATAATAATAGACTTTATTTAAAGAAGGTGTTACAAAACCAGTTTAGCATAGCTAATCTTATAATGGGCCTTCTATTTCTTGAGTCAAATACCAAAACCAATTGAGAACAATAGGAAATGGGCGTGTTTTACGAGTGTTAAATAGTGAACATGCATGCTAAATAATGATTGTTAATTTTGGAAACATGTTGAATGACGCCAAATATGAATATTGAAGATTATACGTCCCCATGCGTAGCATTTTTCATGTGCCCACTGAAATAAATGCAATTTGCCGTTTGCGAACTCTGCACATTGCCGACTTTGGTTGGTCAACTAATTTCCGACGAGCTAGTAGTACGTAGTTAAAATATGTTTTGCGTCTATTTAGACACGAATTTAGAAAGCCCACCGGTTGCACTTGGCATGGAAGATCGTTCGATTTTGGACTCTCAAATTTTAGCATCGTCAACAAAATACTACCAAACATTCGGAGCTGCATATGCCAGACTGAACCTTACAGCCATTGGTAATGTCAGTAGTGGTAGCTGGATAGCAGCGGAAAACGACATTGATCCATGGCTCCAAGTTGACTTTATAAGCAATGTGACGATCAGTGAAATAAGTACTCAAGGCTTAATAGAGAATACAAGTTCGTATGTCACAAGTTACAGACTGGCATTTGGGGATAAAGGGGACAGTTTACAAGATTACCAAGTCAATGAGCAAGTAAAGGTAAATATTATATACTTTGTCTGCTCCCGAGGGAAGCGTTTAGGGGCCGATCATTTAACTTTTTTTTGGGGGGGGGGGTTGATAGGGTGATTTTGAAAAAAATTTCCTGCAAGACTATTCTGAACAAAAAAAACCTGCACTAGTAAATATCCTGCCCCAGTACTTGGCGAGAAAAAAAAATGTTGCAAAACAGCATGGTTGCAGGGATCGATCGCGATTTGACCAGTCCCAGAAGATCAGCTGGTTTCATTTTCAGGGACTAAAGGTGTAAGGTTAATTTCTTGTTGGAAAACTTCTCAAAATGATGGAAATAGCTCATCTGAGCTTCACGAAATCCAAAATTTTCTGGGGGGCATGCCCCCAGACCCCTCTAGACGCTCGCACCTTGGGTAGTCGACTCGGTTGTCTCAGAATCCTAGTTACGGCCTGATCTGCTGCCCTATGACATATACTTATTAGTTAAACCATGCATATATATGCTGCAGGTAGCTGCAGTGGTACAGACTTGCCGACTGAAACTTCTCCAGGTCCCCCGCTAAATAAGTCCCCTACAGTTACACATACTTAAAAGAGGCCCTGAACCAAAAATTATACTTCATAGCAATATGTATTATTAAAAGCAATACATGAAGCTAGAAAACTCAACGTTAACTATAATTAAAGAATCTAAATAGTATAAGCTATTGAAAAACAAATGCTGCGAAAGAGAGAGTGGCAAAAAAATCATACATGGTGATGGGATAGGAAAAAAAATCTTGCACATAACGATCCCAGAAAAAAATTCCCTGAGAGAGAGAGAGAGGTCATGGCCTATTGGTTCTCACTGGACAATCACAATTCAGCAGGATTTTCAAAAAAATGTTTAAAAAAGTTTTAAAAAAGTTTTAAAAAGAAAAAAGTTTAAAAAGTTAGATTTTCAAAAAAGATTAAAAAGTTAGATTAGGGTTAGTGGTTAGTGGTTAGGGTTGGGGTTAGTGTTAGGGGTTAGATGCCGCGAATTTATCATTGTGATAAATTCGAAATGTGCCGCGAATTTATCATAATGATAAATTCGGACGTGTTTAAGAATTTACTCCTATAGTAAATTCAAAGGTGGAGCTCATGCTGACAAAATTATATCCAAACAACATGATTTTCTATACGTTAACAAACTTCACTGCCTTTTTGTGTTTTTGCTTTATTAAAGCTTGAACTGAATTTGTTCAGGTATTCCTTCTGAATATGGCGTTATTCGCTTATTTAGAAAAAATTGCGTAGAATTTTTAAAGATGACCGTCATTTTAATGGCGTAAAACAAAGCTATGTTTATTTTATGTGACGTAATTCCATGCGTCTGTCCTCTAATGGATATGAGCTCTCGACCAACAAAATTATTTAATTTATTATAAGTAATAGCATAAAAAGAGGCGAATTAGCTATTAAAACGTCCCGCCCAATGAGGGTCGTTTAGTAAAATTCCCTTGGGCGCCGCTCGATTCGGGTCATTTAGTAAAATTCCCGAGGGCCGAACCTTATCATATCATGATATCGGGTATTCCCTTTGTTCTCGCAGGGCCATTAAAAACCAATTAACAATAAATAATGGTATAAATTAAATGGTATTATAATTGTTTTCCATGTTTTTGCTTAGTTTTGGCGATTTCAGATGTCTTCATTTACATTCATTTTTTCTAATCGTACCCGCTTTGACGTCGTATCGGGTAGGATTAGAAAAAATGAATATAATGAGGTGTATTAGTTTTTAATTGCCCTGCGAGAACAAAGGGAATACCCGCAATCATGATATTATTATATAAATGACAATAGAACGAAGTAACTTGTTGCATATACTAGCCTGCGAATACAGACGCCTTTTAATTTCGCCCGATGTGAGGCGTCTGTATTCGCAGGCTATGTATATACAGGTATGTTGCATTTAGGCAGCGGCTATTACAAATGAACAACTTTCAAATGAACAACTTTCATCAAGCTATGTCATTAATTAAATAAATATTCATTATAAATTATCTCTTTCCCAAAGGAATTTTATGCGAACTATAGCATCAGTTCCATTATCAGACAACCGTTGAAGCCAGTTATATTTGCTCGATTCATTCGAATAAAACCAAAAACATGGACCGGAGATTGTGCATTGAGGGTTGAATTTTATGGCAAATATGAAGGTGAGAATTGACGTGGCATATCGTCACAGATCAAGTATTAAAGGACAGATATGTAACTTCAGTAAAAAAGTTGTCCCACGCCCACGGTTGCCATATTCCTAGCAAGTGTCGCTCACATGATAATTCGTCATTTGGTATACGCCATTGCTTTCAAAAATGCTTTCAAGCCTTTCAACACCTTTTCTACAACTTTAATCACAGGCGGCCCAATCTCGCAAGGGTCAGTATAGACTTTATACAGTATAAATTTATATTATATTAATTGTATATTATAGTAAAAATATGTCATAAAATATAAATTTTAAAATGAAATTGACTTGCCTATTTGATAGTGTGTGTTCTCCTTGTATTCCTCCTTTGTTGTACTAATATTTTCCGAGACCTTGTACTCGATGTTACTAGTATACATGAAACATGATAAAGGCTAACCATTCCCGATCGTCGATACGACCGCACGGCACTTCGAATCGAAAATTCTCACACTCAAATCGCTTTATTCTCCAAACAAATTCGCCAGCATGTACAACAAATGCCGTTCTTCGAAAATACGGAGGTACTTCGGCGAGATGTACAAGTTTTGGACCATATTTTAACAATGGAAATCAAAACCCATTTTATATTGAACTTGCCCAGGCCGAAAATTACTACGGCGAACGTCTGCGCAACCAGGCCTCCTTTACCGTTGGATTTACAGGGGGAGGATGCCACTAATATATTCACGATAATATTTCGAATTAAAGTATC